AATGACATGAGACAAAGTATATGTGAACTACTGTATGAAAAGTGAATTTACTCTGTAAATCTTCACCCAAATCCTAAAAAAAAAAAAAAGAATAAAAGGGATTAACAATGAAAACTAAAAAAAAGAAAATCCGATTTACGTCAGGACCAACTGAGAGCTGCAGAAACAGAACTCCATCCTACCCATAATACTCGAAACTAGGTGACTTGAATTTCTCATACTTCTCTACTAAAGCACACATTTATTTTACTGCACAATTCACTTATAATTCCTTTATCTCTAAAATAGGGGGATTGGCTCAGATCACTGGTTCTTCACTCTGGTTGAGCATTAGAAACATATAGAATTTTGATTTAGAAACCTAGGGTGATGTCCCATAATCTGTAATAAGTGATTCTGATGTGCTAATTTGGCTGAAAATTAATGCTAGAAGACTTCCAAATTCTAAAATCTTACAACTCTAAAGTACCCAGCTCTATTATACAAATTGCAAATGCAATTCAAGACAAGCAAGTTTACTGACAGCAAGAGTTGTTAGAGGATTCTGAAGAAACCAAAGCACAAACAGGTAGACACTGATCAAGTGCATCAGGGAAGTATCTGGAGAGGAATCCTGAAGATGCCACGGTAGGCAATGGAGGATGGTGGGTGACAGACCGCTAAGCGGTAGCCGGAGACAAGCTATCAGAGGACACTGTGATAACAACCATGCAGTGCCAGCTCAATGAAGGAATGATGGAAAAAGAAACAGCACGTCTGGCAACCAAGTACAATTCAGAGTACCTTTTCTTGATGATACAATATAGTAAGTCTCTGAGGAGGTGGATATGGAAAAGGAGGTTAGGAGACATTTCATAGTCAAAGGTGTCCTGGTTTGGATGATAAATTACACAACGTCTCATTAATTATAAAACCACTCAGTTCTGACAAAAACTTAGCAAAGAAAAGATCTGTGCATGACAATTTAATCAACAATAGAGGGCCAAAGCTTTCTGATGGGGAAGCCCAACCGAGGCTAGACGACCAGCAGAGAGATACCTGGACTCCTTAGTTGTGATGACTGACGAGAGCTGATTGGCTGCGAGCCAGGCCCAGGCTTCTGCTTGTGCAGCCTCTCCCCCAAACTGCAGTTTGATGCATCTGCAAGAAAAAGGGTCGCACACACAGCACACTAATGGCTGAAAAGCTCCACGTTATTTTGCTACTAAAATAGAGAAAGAAAACCACCACTTCAGCCCTAGTCTTTTGTTGAATTCACTACAGGGTTATCAGCTCTTCTGTCGCCTCACAGCAACACAACTGGATGGGCCAAGGAGTCACCAGTAACTGTTAGGAGATAATTTACTTCTGAGAGAAAAATTACTGAATACTTCTAATTCACAGGCTACTTGACTAATAGTAGGTAAAAAGTAACATAAGTAAAAACCTCTTTCCTAAAGGGCTGACAGATTTCCTAGAGGACTGAAGAGGGGACATGCTCTGTCTACAATGGTCAATATTTAACCCAGGTTATCAGTCATGTGGGAATGTGGACCCATGGATCTTTGATTTCTCAAGAGAAGGCAAAATCTAGATTTAAAAAAAAATGTAAAATCACCTTAATTTTAATCATAATCATTTAACTGAAAAAGAATTTAAAGTTGTGTGGACTGAACAAAATACTTCTTTAAACCTAAAATAGCTTTAAGCTATTACAGGTCTGTGACTACTGCTTTGCACTAAGCACCAGTATAATAATATTTGTGTTAGAAAATTAAGACTATAAAAAGATAATTTAATACATACCTGAAAGCAAGTCCCTCAAAGACTGGGGTTAAGGGAAGCTTGAAAGTCTGACAGAGTGATATGGCAGTGTCAAAGAGGCCAGCCTGGACCAGGAGGGTGACCATCTCCTCTGCTGAAGAACTTCCTGTGGAGATGGAGAAAGACTACTCAGGGCCACCAATGGAAATATGCAAATATGTCCAAAGATTTAGCTTTGTTGATGAGTATCTCAGAGGTACAATGACATGCTTTCTACCCATCTAGCACAGTATGTCCACAGCCTGGCCCTACCATGTGCTTTTGGTACTGGCAGGTAAGAGGCTCTCACAGCAGCAGTCCTACCTGCAACTGCAACTGCTGATGAGTCGTGCTGAGCCAAAGTGAGGCGAATGCGAGCCAAGGAACACTCTTTCTCCAGATCTTCCAGTTCCAATATTTCAATTTGTCGATTTGCTAGAAACCAAAGAAATACATATTCAATTCCCAGAGTACAAAGCAAGTAACTACAAGATGAACTCAATTTTCTTACTTCCACTGTTGTTGTTGTTATATGCTGTCGAGTTGCACCCGACTCATAGTGACCCCTCCTTGGGTTTCCGAGGCAGTATCACTACAGAAGTAGGATCGACCAATCTTCCTTCCAAGGAGTGGCTGATGGGTTTGAACCTTAGGCACTATGCTACCAGAGCTCCTGGTAGCATACTTTTAGTCTACTTCCACTAGATGTTAAGTAACATTCAATTTCATCTCCAAAGGCATGGAATAGAGAAGAAAACAAGGGGCCCACTAAAAGCTGACGGAGAAAGTACAGCAACATTGCTGCTTCACACTCATAGTTCCTAGACTGCAGACAGTTGTGTCAAATTCAAGTATCCTAGTAACAGCTGCAGTTGAGGGAGTGCTTACAAGGTTCTTTAGATGAAATTGTATTGAATTCTGGTAACTGAAATATTGTTATCTTTCCCTTTATCATGTAGAAAGGAACTTGCCCAAGATAAGAAAGGTAGACTTAGAACCCAGGGATGTCCAACACTGGAGTCTAAACTCTTTATGGAAGGATATTATACCTATTTGATAATATCAAAAGAACCTGATAAAAATGTTTGGCACTAAACTGATTTAAATACCACAACCAACAATAGCAAATGCACTCTTTCTTTTAAGCCTTTTCAGTTTTCATACCATCACAAAAACTTTTTAAGGGGCTAGCAGACAACCTTTAACAAATTAAAATGTTGAAACTGAACTGAAAAGGAACTTCATAGTATTTAAAAAATATACTCCAGCCCAACAAAGACTCAGGTGGAGGCTGACTCACTCGGGGCAGCGGTACATTCTCCATCATGATTCCTCTTGGGGGATGCGCCAGGGCGATTGTACTGACAAGACAAAACAAGTGACTTAATTGTGAAAAACAAAATTTTGATGTCCTTAGTGGTTATTCACTTTACACACTTAAATTCTCAATATAAATTATTTTTATTTCAAGATGGGGGAAGCGAGGCAAAAATCACTAGATAATAAGTATTGATTTGAGGGAAGGGAGAGGCAACATACAGTAAGAAGGAGATCAACACGTTATCACTAAGGCAAAGGAAGACACTGAGAGGTGCACGAGAGTTACAGACAACTGAGGTAAATACTATTCCATACACTTCTGCCATATCAGTAATAAAAACAATAACCTATGAGTGGACACACAGGCAGACATGCAAGCTCAACAGGTATGGGTAGGTAAACGGGACTACACCCACAACCATATAAAAGTTTGGCAGAGAGTATTTCTACACACATATTTGTATGTGTTGTAAATAGATAGCCCCATGAATAGAGTATATAGGGGGCAAAGTTTGGAAAACTTCTTAGCCGTAACCAAACACCTTGTGGGAATAAGTCACTGGGCTTGGGGGCTTAGTCTCTGAGGACAGCTAAGTCAACTGGCCTAACACAGTTTACAAAGACAATGTTCTACATCTTACTGTGATAAGTAGCGACTAGGGTCTTAAAAGCTTGCCAATGGCCATCTAAGATGGAACTACTGGTCTTAGAGGAAAGACAAGTGAAAAAAAATCAAAGGCTCAAGGAAACAATGAGTCCAAAGGACTAATGGACCATGGGAGCCTCAGCCTCCACTAACCTGAGACCAGAAGAACTAGATGGTGCCCAGCTACCATCCCAACTGCTCTGATCAGGACCACAGGTGGTCTTGGACGGAATGGGAGAAAAATATAGAAGACAATTCAAAACCATTAAAAAAGACTGGATTTCTTGGTCGGACAGAGACTGGTGAACCCGAGACTATGGCCTTTAGACACTCTTCAAACATGGAACTGAACCCATCCCTAGGGAACACCTTGCAGCCAAATGACAGACAGACCTATAAAAGTGAATGATAACACTCATGAGGAATATACTCCTCAGATAATCAACCACAACCAAAAGGGCAGCACTTGCCCAAAAACAAAGCTCAGAGGCAGGAAAGAAGGACTAATGGAAACAGGGAACCTAGAGAAGGAGCAAGAGTACTGTTACATCAAGGGACTGCAACTAATGTTATAAAACAAAATATGTGTAAATTGTGGAATAGAAAACTGATTTGCTCTGTAGAATTTCACTCAAACCACACACACAAAAATTTTTTTTTTTAATTATTTCAAGGAGTACAGCCTTCTGACAAAGGTACTTGTATTCATTAACTATCAGACAATGAAACAGGAGCATTTGAGCAGCTGGCTCACTTAGCTACAAAAAGTTATGGAATCCAAAGGCATAGATTTGGTCTTTTCTTGGTTCCAGAGTTACATTAGCCAGCCATAACTCTGGGCAGTGGGCTAATAAGTGCAGGAACTGCACAACAAAATGTAGATGGACATATATGACCCCACCAGCATTACAGAAAAAAAACTATAGGTTAAATTAACAAACATGATTGAAATAAAAGCAGCTATCACTTGAGCACTTTCTGTGTGCCAGCCTCTAGGTATTAAAAATGGTTAAGTGCTTGGCTGCTAACTGAAAGCTTGCAGGTTCAAGTCCACCTAGAGGCACCTCAAAAGAAAGGCCATCTGAAGAAAGTCAGCCACTGAAAACCCCATGGAGCAGTTCTACTCTGACATAAATGAAGTTACCATGAGACAGAACTGACTAGATGGCAACTGTTTTTTTTTTTTTTTTTTAACTTATAGTTTCTCTGTATTCCAGGCACTAATGTTATCCTAACTTAAATAATTTACATAAATTATTTCATTTAATCCTCAAAACAATCCTTGAGGGAGATACTATTATCATCATCATCTCTATTTTATGTAAGAGAATGGGGATGATCAGACTGCAAAAAATTAATTTATTTGCCTAGCACCAATCACATCTAACTCTAAAACCATTGTGTAATACTTCTTCCTGTGAGAATTTGGAATTTGGGAACTAAAGGGAACAACAAAAACAACAACAAAGGGACAATGATAATATAGTAACTGTCTCAAAATAGATTAAGTTTGCAAATATCCCAGTAGAAATTTTAAATGAAATGAAGCAAAATGAGGTAACAGTTTTGAAAAGACCAAATCAAATATGCTAAGTGATCCCCAACTTTCAGGATGTAAAGTTTTCATACCACTGCACCGGACACTGGCTGCACAATCCATGCATATTCTGGACGAATGAGCCGTAAACAATTAATAGCCGCCAGATAACAGGAGCCTTGCTTCTCAAGTCCCCGCAGCGTTCGAACCTCTCTGCCAAGACGCATTCCATACTCAAACATCACTGTGCCAGCTATGAAGCAATAATAAATAGACCTTAGAATTTCAAAAATATGTTTCTTTAGAGACATAGGCAGAGAATGTGTTATACTTATCAAAGATTAAAATTTAAAACAAAATTGAGTTTAACTAACTTAAAACAACAAGAAAATCATATGAAACACTCCTTTTGACTTCAAATACTACCTTCATGTACCCAAGGCAAAAACCCATCCATAATTTAGAAAGCTTGTCTCCGTCACATTGCACCATCCGCAACCATGAGTCTGAGACCAGAAGCATGTGGATGCACTACTCAAGAGCCAACAAAAATGCCCAAACCTCTTGGTCTGATTCATGGAGCCCCTACGTGCTGCAGAGTAGAACTGCTCCACAGGGCTTTCTTGGCTGTAACCTCTACAGAAGCAGAATGCTGGGCTTTTCTTCCGTGGTGTCACTGGGTAGGTTCGAACTGCCAAGCTCTATGTTAGTAGTTAAGTGCAAACCATTTGTGCCCCAGGGACTTTTATTCAAGAATACAGCCTCTAGTACTACTCACCCAGCAGGAAAAATAAAGTCTTGATACATACTACAATGTAGATGAGCTTGAAGACATTATGTGTGTGAAACATAATCCATCTCAAAAAAGCAGATATTGTATGACAGAGACATTTATACATGGGGAGAAAGGCTAATGGTGATGGAAAAATTGCATTAAGGATAGGGCTGTATAACCAATTATTTGTAATTGCTGGCAGTAAGTTGTATACCTGTAAACACTTGAATTGGCTTAAAAAAAAAAAAAAGTAGCTGCTGAGACTGCATATATATATATATTTGGTTCCTTGGTTTGGAAGTTTAGGGTCATGGTTTCATAGGACATCCCAGTTACTTGGCCTAATAATGTGTTTAGTGCTTCAGTTCTACCGCCTAGTTCACTGCGTAGTGCCCGGAGTCTTAAAAGCTAGTAAGTGGCTATCCAAGGTATGAACAGTTGGTCTCTGCATGCCTGGAACAACAGAGGAAGGCAGGTTAGGAACAGGAGGAGGAAATGGAACGAGTGGCCCGTTGCCTCCTTGAACATCTGCCTCCTTTGCCATGAGACAAGAAAAACTGGATGGTGCCTGAATATTTTAATCAAAGATTCTGTAGAAGAACAGAATTACAAATTCTCATGGACTCCAGACTCTTTGGTTCCATGGAGTCTGGATGAACCCCTGAAACTACTGCCCTGAGACAGTCTTAAACCTTAAACCAAAAATATCCCTTGAAGTCTTCTAAAATCCAAGTAACAGTTTAGCTTGTAACCAGTGAAAAAGTCTGCCTTGAGCATTATGCTCTTTTAAGACTATTTATATGAGATCAAAGTGACAAGAGCAACTCAGAAAAATTAGAGGTACCTTAGGGGGCAACGAGTTTATGTTAATGGGGGAGGGAACAACTTGGAAAAGGAGGTTGAGAACAGTTAAACAACTGGAAGGATGTAACACTGTCAATGAACTGCACTTGTAGAAACTGATGAATTGGTGTGTGTTTTGCTGTGTATATTCTCAACAACAAGAAAATAAATTTACTTGGAAAAAAAAAAAAAGGAACAGTTTCTTATTCCTATACTTCAGTTGTGTAAGTTGAATGAAATCACTGAAAAATACAGTATTTGGGAGCTGCATTCCTGAAATTAGCATTTAAAAATCTTTGAGTTCTCAATTTATTTTTCATCCTAACAAATATTTCCTGAGCGCCTATAATACATAAGACATTGTGTTTAAACAGCCTTGCTCCTGAAAGACCTGAACATTAACCTGGCTAAAATTGATCTCTATCAAGTTGACGTAATGGATATTGTTACTGTGAATGCAAATGAATGAGAGCTCTTTAATCATTTGTGTTTCTCTTCCTGGATGATTAAGAGAACTATATGTTCACATGTTTTGTTATTAGGAACATTAAGAACATGACTACAAATGACCTCTATCAATTCTAATGGTGACTCCTTAAAAAGTTGGAAAGAGAAATACTATTTCAGCATATATGCCCTTCATCAAGTTGAGGAATTCCCCTTCTATTCCTATTTTTCTGAGAGTTTTGATCAGGAATGGGTGCTGGATTTTATCAAATGCTTTTTCTGCATTGATTGATATGATCATGTGATTCTTTTATTTTACTTATGGGATAGATAATGTTGATTGTTTTTCTAATGTTAAACTATCCTTGCATACTTGGTATGAATCCCACCTGATCATGATATATATGTATTTTTTTATGTCAGAGTCTATTGGTTAGGATTTTGTTGAAGATTTTTGTGTCTATATTCATGAAGGATATTGGTCTGTAGTTTTCCTTTCTAGTGCTGTCTTTGCTTGATTTTGGTATCAGGGGTATGCTTGCTTCATAAAACGAATTTGGGAGGATTCCATCCTTTTCCATGTTCTGGAACAGTCTGAGTATGACTGGCATCAGCTCTTCTCTGAATGACTGTAGAGTTCTCCAGTGAAACCATCTGGCTAGGACTTTTTTTGTTAGTAATTTTATGACCTGTTTGATTTCTTCTTTTGTTATGGGTCTGTTCAAGTTTACTAACTCAGTCTGTGTTAGTTTAGGTAAGTAGTGTGTTTCTAGTAATCTGTCCATTTCTTCTAGGTTTTCAAATTTTTTATAGTACAATTCTTCATACTCACTGCTGTTGAGTCATTTCCGACTCATAGCGATCCCTCCCTGGGTTTCCGAGGTGGTATCTCTATGGAAGTAGATTGCCCAATCCTCCTTCTGAGAAGTGGCTGGTGGGGTTGAGCCACCAGCCTTCTGGTTAGCAGTCAAATGCCTTAGGCACTATACCACCATCCTGATACTCTTTTTATTCCTGTTGGTTCTGTTGTGATGTCACCCTTTTCATTTTTTTATTCGTGTTATTTGCATCTTCTCCTTTTCTTTTGTTAAGTTTGCCAATGGTTTGTCAATATTATTAATCTTTTTGAAGAATCAATTTCTAGTCTTGTTTACCTTTTCTATTGTCTATTTTCTGTTCATTTATTTCTGCTTGAATCTTTATTATTTCTTTTCTGGTAACCGTAGGCTTCTTTTGCTGCTCTTTTTCTAATTGTTGGAGATGTTGGGTTAAGATGTTGATTTTGACCCTTCTTTTTTTAATGTATACATCTATTACTATAGATTGCCGTCTGATTGCTGCTTTTGCTGTGTCCCAAAGATTTTGGTATGTTGAGTTTTCATTCTTGTTTGATTCAAGGCATTTTTTAATTTCATTTTTTATTTCTTCTATCACCCAGTCATTTTTGAGGAGGGTGTTAGTCAGTTTCCACATTTGCTCTTTTTCTGTTGGTCTTCTTAGTGTTAATTTTGAATTTTATAGAACTGTAATCTGAGAAGATGCTTTGTAGCATTTCAATGATTTTAAACTTATTGAGGCTTGCTTTGTGGCCTAACATACGGTCTACCCTGGAGAATGTTCCATGTGTGCTGGAAAAGAATGCACACTATACTGCTGTTGGGTGAAGTGTGCTATAGATGTCTATAAGGTCAAGTTGGTTAATCATATTGTATAGTTCTTCTGTATCTTTGTTGAGTTTCTTTCTACTTCTTCTACCTTTTATTCAAAGTAGTGTATTAAAGTCTCCTACTGTTACTGTGGTGTTATCTCATTGTCTTTTCAATTCTGTTAAAGTTTGATTTATGTATTTTGGGGTCCTTTCATTGGGTGCACAGGTATTTATTATGGTTACATCCTCTTGTTCAACTGATCCTTTGATGATTATATGATGTCCTTCCTTGTCTCTCATGGTCATTTTTGTCTTAAAAGTCAATTTGACCCAAAATTAATATTGGCACGCCTGCCCTTTTTTGGTTGCCATTTGCTTGATATATCTTTTCCAACCTTTGATTTTTAGTCTCTTTTTGTCATTGTGTCTAAGGTAAATCTCCTGTAGACACCATATTGATGGGTCATATTTTCTTATCCAGTCTGTAACTCTCCATTTCAAGTGGTGCATTTAATCTATTTACATTCTGTATAATTATCAACAAGTATGAATTTATTGATGTCATTTTGTTGTAAGTTTTTTCATGGTGTTGCTGACTTCTTTGTTCTATGTAAATTTTTGCATTGAGCTTATTATGTTTATGAATCACGTTGTCTCCTATACTGCTATTATTTACGTATTTGCTAAATATTTCTGCTTCCTCTCTTTTTTATTTTGATGCAAAGTTTATTATTTTTCTTTCAGGTTACCCTGTGATTTACTATTTTCTTCCCAAGTTTAAAACTGTGTATTCTATCTCACAATTGTCTTGACTTCCTCACCATTTAGAAGTTCTGTAACTACGTTATTTATTCCTTATTTTTGGTTTGTAGTTGTCCTCTTTTACCAATTTATGACTCTAGTTCCCTTGTAAGCATGTAAATTTATTTTACTTTGGTTACTTCTATAACTGGGGTTGGTTTCTGGGTTATGTCATCATGTGTGTTAATCATGGGTTGTTGCTTGCTGTTGTTGATTCTCTTTCCAAAGGACTGCCCTTAATTAACATCTTTTGTAAGATTGGTCTGCTTTTAACAAATTCCATTCATTTCTGTTTATCTGGCAGTCTCCTAATTTCACCCTCATATTTGAAGAACAATTTTGCTGGGTAGGTAATTCTTGGTTGGAAATTTTTCTTCTGGGGTTTTATATATATGCAGTGTAGTAAATTACTTTGTGTGGCTTTTCTACCCATAAGTCTTTGTAAACTTCAAGGTGGGATTTGCTATGAGCAACTGAGGAGCTTTTGATTGCTGAAAGTGTCCACCTGGAGTATTTCTGTTGGGAGTGGCACAAAACAATGTTCTGGGAGGTGCCCACTCTCTCTCAGGTGCTTAGAGTTCTGATGCTAT